TGGGGGCCACCTGGGACTGGGGGATTCCCTTGGGGTGCAGCTGGGATTGGGGGCCACCTGGGACTGGGGGATTCCCTTGTGACACAGCTGGTACTGTGGGGGCACCTGGGACTGCAGAATTACTGGGGGTGCAGCTGGGATTGGGGAATTCCCTCTGGATGGAGCTGGGATTGGAGGATTCCCTTGGGACATGGCTGGGATTGAAGGGATTCACTTGGGACATGGCTGGGATTGGGAGATTCCCTCAGGATACAGCTGGGATATACCCTTGGGGTACAGGTGGGATTGAGGGATTTCCATGGGACACAGTCGGGATGGACAGATTCAATTGGGACTGAGGGATTCCCTTGGGGTGCAGCTGGGATTGGGGATTCCCTCAGGATACAGCTGAGAATTGGGTATTTCCTTGGGATACAGCTGGGATATACCCTTGGGGTATAGCTGGGGTTGAGGGACTTCCAAGGGACACAACTGGCATGGCCTGAAGCCAATTCAAGCAGATTTTACCTTTCACGTTCTCGGGGTTGTCGATGACAAAGTTCCCATTCCAAACCACGGCAAAGTCCACTGCCAGGTTGCTGATGTCCATCCCATCATAGAGGTACTGCAGGGTAAGATCCAGAGTGAAATGCTTGGGGAGACAACACTCCCAGGCAAAGAGGTTTTTTTGAGAGAAACCATCTTTATTCTCTGCTTAAAAACATCTGCTGGTGCCTCAGACACCACATTTTTACACTTCATCTCCAGGGTTCTGCTTTGAGTCCCTTCTCCTCATCAGGAGGAGATAATTAAATCAGATCTAGTCCTTGTGAGAGGTACCAGATTAATTATTCCTCTTGCAGTGGCTGCTGTCATCACTCAGTCTCTGGCTTGCCAACACAGCCCCTCCAGGTAACCAGACTGGGACTGGAGCTGCCCTCAGGCTGCTTCTTGCCCAGTTTGTGACTGGGAGCTCCAGAACCCCAGTGCAGAGCTTTGCAGGTGGAACAGGAAAACAGAGCAAAAATAGATGGTGCAGAGCCCCAGCCACTGCCTCAGCCTGCCCCAGGACAGCACTGGCCTGAATTATTCCCCTTTTTCTGACATCCTGGGGCCCGTGGCTGAGTGAGGCTGGATGCTGCAGCTGAATTCCCAGTGAATGCTGAAATTCCCATTATCACACCCAGCACTGGCCAGGCCCCACTCTGGAGCTCTCTTTAGGTCAACAAGAGCTGCTAAAAAGACTTCAGGAGGTGAGTGAGCATTGCCACGCTCCCTGGGAGGAGGGAGTGGTGATGAAAGCAGGGCAGAGTGCTCTGCCCGTCCCTGGGCAGCAGCTGTGCAGCTTTAACTCACGTTTGACTGTGCTGGGTTTTACTAAGCTGGGGTGGAACGAGAAGTTGTGAGTCCAGAATGGCCCCCACATCCTCCCCCTACCACTTCCTATCAGCCCAACAGCAATAAAAGTGCTTCTCTAATGCTTATAAATCACTCTGGATAGGAAAAGTACTATGTACTATTAATGCATTTATTATCCACCAAGCTGCAAGGCCCAAAGACGACCAGCGATGTATAAATATCCAGTAAAACTTTAAAAAATTCAAAACTTCATTAACAATTTAAGGCCATCTGCACTGAATATTCAAGTGGACCCTGTTGTGCTGCCTAAAACAAACTGACTGTGCCCTTTTTGCCCAGGGCCCTTTCTGAGCACATGGTGAGCAGAGGAAGGGCCATGCTCGTGAAGGGACACAGGAGACCCAAATTTGGGCTGTGGATCAGGGTGGGGGTGCCTGGCTTTGCCATTTGTGTTTTGGCATCACAGAGTGCCCAGCAGGGTGAATTTGGGGTGTTCTGGTGAGGTTGAGCCCTGTTTTGAGGAGGGGGTAACCCTGCCCTGCTCTGGGGCAGCATCACCCGGTGATTCCCCTCTCCTGGGCAGCATCACCCAGTGATTCCCCTTTCTTGGGCAGCATCACCCAGTGATTCCCCTTTCTTGGGCAGCATCACCCAGTGATTCCCCTTTCTTGGGCAGCATCACCCAGTGATTCCCCTTCCACCCAGTGATTCCCCTTCCACCCGGTGATTCCCCTCTCCAGCCCCGCTGTCTCTCTCCCCCATCACTTTCCCTCTCCCCCTCCTTCCCCGCTTCCAGCACCACTCTATTCATCCAGCCACTGTGACCTGGGATGTGACAGCTCCCCGATAAGGGGTCTGTGATTCTCCTTATCTCCCCGCGTGTGAATTAGCCTGCCTCAACACCTCCTGCATTCCCTCCTCCTCCCCTTTCCCAGGCTGACCCTCCACAGGCAGCCAGGGCACTCCAGATCCTGTGGGCATTCTCCCACCTGGGATTTGGGATTAGAGAGATTTTCCCCCCTTCCCGGTGCTGCCAGCCATGCCCATGCCCAGCCCATGCCCAGCCCATGCCCATGCCCAGCCCATGCCCATGCCCAGCCCATGCCCACACCGCTCTCACGCACCGAGCTGTTCTGGCACTGCACGCTGGAGCTGTTGAAGCGCAGGGCGGGCACCCTGTGCACGATGCCCTGGATGCTGAGCACGCACTCGTAGCCCCTCTGGCCCGACTGGGGCTGCGGCAGGTTCCGGGCCCTCAGCGTGATGGGCTTCACCTCTCCCACCGGGATCAGGATCTCCTCCGTGGGGAACAGCTGCGGGCAGTCCTGCGAGGCAACGGGAGAGGGGCGAGGTCATGGGTGGGGTGTGCTGGGGATGCTTTAGCATTTTAGCTTTTATATTTTTTATACTTTTTAATATTTTATATATTTTATATTTTTATATATTTATATTTTTATATTTTAGATTGTTAATATTTTTATATTTTTATTTTTATACTTTTTATAGGTTATATTTTTATATTTTATATTTTTATATCTTAATTTTTTCTTATATATTTTTTATATAATTGTAATCCTGCAATCCTGCAAATCCTGCAAAATTTGGAGTGTGTAACTCCTAACCCCATACTTATATTTTTTATATTTTTCTTTTTTTTTTTAAATATAATAGTGATCCTGCAATTCCGCAAATCCTGAAAAATTTGGGCAGTATAACTCCAAACTCCATACTTATATTTTTTATATTTTTCTCATACATTCTTTTTATATAATTGTAATGCTGCAATCCTACAAAATTTGGACTGTATAACTCCAAACTCCATACTTATATTTTTAATATTTTTCTTATATATATTTTTTATATAATTGTAATCTTGCAATCCTGCAATCCTGCAATTCTGCAAATCCTGCAAATCCTGCAATATTTGGAGCGTATAACCCCAAACTCCATACACAGTATGACTTTGGAGCTATATATATTATATATATGGAGTTATATATATATAATGCTGTTCTCCCGTTTTGGTCAGACACAACAATTCCTCTCCAGGCCTGGCAATCAAGGACACCTCAGTGTTTCAGGCTCTGGGAGATGTGAACAAAACCATGACACCTTCCCATCCAAAGCATGTGTGACTCTGTGAAACACCATTGCACAGATATCCAGGTCACCCAAGCACAAACAGAATGTCTGAATGAACCACAAAAAATGACTTATCAGCTGCTGGTAACGGTGTGACATCCCTCCCGTGAGATCTCAACATCCCAAACATTATCTCTGCACAACACACTGGGAAATACAATTTTTCTCCAATTTCTACAGCAGGAACTGCGGCACCTCTGACCACCAGCTGTATTTACATTCTGCTCAGCTCTAATTTGCTTTGATCTAATGGAACAAGGTACCTAAGTACCTGTAAGCACCTGACACTGAGTGATTAATCCCCAGCTAAAGCAGGAGTTTAGAACAAACACGTCAGTCTCCATTCCCTCTGCCAAATCCCAGAGTGGCACCCCAAGCCCCTGCAGCCTGGGGATGAAAGGGAATCGTGCTGATGGCAGTGCCAGGAGCCATCGTGCCCAGGATCCTGCGTGCAGGGGGGAAATGGGGAAAATCCCCCTCCCCAGGGCAGGCAGCCCCCAGGCAGGGCCAGGGGAAGCCTTTCAGCATGGCTCAAGCCAGCTGTAAATGAGGAACAGATGCTCTGCTCTGGAGCAGCCACTCACTTAAACTGCAGCCTCATAAACCTTTTTAGTGGCACTTTTCCGTATATATATTTTATTTTATTCCTAACAGGGACTTTCACGGATTAACAGCCAAGAGTGATTTCAAACTCCATCAGCCGCGCTGGGGAGGGAAGGGAGGCCCTTTGCTGCAGAGGAGAGGGTTCACAGGCTGGGAGGGAATGGCATTCCCTGCTTCCACTGACCCTGGCACCTGGATCCAGCCCATTTTTGATGGAAAATGGATTCACAGCATTTTCCATCCAGCTCTTCCAAGCTGACTCTGCACATTCCCTCCTCTCCTGAAGCACCACTCACCTGAGCCACCTTCCACTCAACACCTGCCTGCACTAAGGGTTTGATTTCACCCCAAAGTCCCATCGAGCTCCAACAGAGGGGCCCAGCCCCGAGGGCTGGAAGGAAAAGCAACCCAGAGCTGCAGAATCCTTTACCCCATTACAACTGAAAACAAAATATCTCCACTTGCATCACCAGTGGGAGAACTTCAGTGCACAGTCCTGAAAATAATGAATATGTTATGGACCATTATCCCTCCTGGCCAGCTCAGTCCGTGAGGAGACTGCTAAGGAGAGGCTCCTTCCTTTCCTTCCCAGGCACAGGAGGGGACTCCATCCCACATCTGCTCCCTGCTGCTGAAAGTGCTGCCAGCAAAAACTGCTCTGCCATCATTAGAGACAAGTGGGGCAAAATAGATTTATCTTTTTTTCCATTCCTTTGGTTCCAGAGGACGGAAAATGTCACATTGGGGCTGTGGGGAAGGCGAGGCAGCCCGAGCAGGAGCGGGCGGCCCCTCGGTGCTGGCTGACAGCTGCAGTGATCACACTAACAAGGGATCCACGTTGGGCATGCAGGGATCTGTGGGAGGATGCCAGACTCCAGCAGAGCCAGGATGCTCGTGGGCAGCCACGCCGCTGCAGGCAGTGCCTGCTGAATTTCTGAGCTGGGCACAGGAGCTGCAGGGGCTGGGGAGGGCTCGGGTCAGCTCAGACCCTCAGATCCTGGGCAGCCCCTGTGGGCATTTCCAGCCCCAGGGAAAGCTCAGCTTTCAGGGCTTTTCTTCTTCCAATTTGCTTTTTAAATTGCTGCCTCAGTGATGTGCACCCACAGCCCTGCAGAGCCAAATCCCTGCGCCCCAAATCCCTGCACCCCAAATACCTGCACAGCCAAATCCCTGCAGAGCCATGTCCCTGCACCCCAAATCCCTGAAAAATCATGTCTCTGCACCCAAATCCCCGCACAGCCACACCCCTGCATCCCAAATCCCTGACAGCCACATCCCTGCACCCCAAATCCCTGAAAACCCAATTTACTGCACCCAAATCCCTGCACAGCCACACCCTTGCATCCCCAAACCCCTGAAAATCCACCGCCTCCCCCAGCTGCTCCCTGGTGGAACAGCCAGTGCTCAGGTAAATGATTTTGTCAGGGGTTTATTTATCATCGGTTGGGCAGTGCCTCTGTCCATGCTGATCCCCTCAACAGGAATTTCCCTGGGAAGGGTTGGCAGCACCAGCCAAGGTCCCTCCTCATGCCCATCCTGGCTCCCTCCCCAGGAAGAGCCAGAACCAGCCAGAAAACACCGAGTGAAGGCGGTGGAACACACAGCTCGTTCCATAATCAGTTTACTTTGTTTTTTAATTCACGAGAGGTAAATCCTGCAGCGAGTCAGAAAGGCCATTATTGCCTCCTCTCTCTAAACAAACAGGCAGAATCCTCTCATTATCCTCCTTGACTTCCCGGAGCCAGAATAAACACGGATCAGATCTGCTGGAGGAAGACAAGGCTGGGGTGCCTGAGTGGCACAGACTCTCGGGGAATGTTCTGCCTGTGAAGTATCAGCACACACAATTTACAAAGACATTTTATGCTTCTCCAACACTTTTTAGCCTCAAAGACTCCAAGGTCTATAAATACCTTAAAGACCCACGTTCTGCAGCTGTCTCTGGAGCAGAACAGAGCACCCATGGTTATTATTTGTGTTTAACCGAGCAGTTTTAGTAGGTCAAACCTCCTTGCTCTTATTTGGAAAAAAAAAATTGCCTAGAAATGGCAGGCAATTCTTCTGACTAGAGGATTTAGCCCAAATGGCAGAAAATAGACTGTTTCTGTACTTTTCATCTTCAAAAAACCCCCGCAAACTCTCCACAAATGTTAACTTGCCGCACGTTATTTTAAAGTTATAAACATAACCCAATCTGGCACGTGCATGTAAACCCCTGGTTCACAGTTGTGCTCCCAATGATATAAATTACAGTGCCTGTCACTCATGGAAACACATTATCCTTCATTTATGCCACTGGAAGGGAGAGCAGCCCCCGCTCCTTGGAAACCAGACATGAAAGGAAGGCAGCTGGAGCCCGGCCTGGCGAATTCCTGACCCACACCACCAGCCCTGAGCTCCAGCCTGGGTCTTCTCCATCACTTTGGGAGGCAGGGGGATGTTCAGAACCTTTCCCTGCTGTGAACGGGGCACACTTTGTGTGCCAGGAGCAGCGCCCTGGTCAGGGTACAGGCAGGAGCATCTCCCTCTGCTCCTGCATCCCTCGCTCTGAACACCAAACATCCACAGCACGGCTGATAAAAGCTCTAACTTGGGTCTTCTCCATCACTTTGGGAGGCAGGGGGATGTTCAGAACCTTTCCCTGCTGTGAACAGCCCTTTGTGTGCCAGGAGCAGCTCCCTGGTCCAAGTTACAGGCAGGAGCATCTCCCTCTGCCCCTGCATCCCTCCCCTCCCTCTGAACACCAAACATCCACAGCACGGCTGATAAAAGCACTGCCACGGCTCAGAGCTGAGGGAATTTTGCTGAAACCGGGCTTTTTGCTCCTATTTCAGGCAAAGGCATCTCCCCAAAGTGAGGTGTGACCCTGCAAAGTCATTGGCTGCCTTTGGTGGCCTGAGCTGTGGCTCTGAGTCACCTCCAGCACATCTCGGCTCTGCTGGCGTGGGGATTGGCAGGGCAGCTCTGCAGGGCCGGTTCTGGTTTGTTCTGTTTCCTTCAGGGCACATCAAGCAGCACTCAGCACCCAAGGGCACAGCCGGGGGCAAGGGCGTTGCCATGAAATCAGTGGGAATTCAAAGGAGCCCCAAGGGCACTGAAATCCCCGAATCTGGAGCTCTGTGTCCCCAGATCAGCGTCCCCCTGTGGAAATGGCATTATCAGCACACACTGGACATCAAAGGGGGACGGGCTCTCACATCCTGGGGAGCTAAGAGGATTTATTTGGTTCTAGCTCTCCTCTGGGATGGGGTGTGAGGATGTTTATGAATCCACATTCCTCCTCATTTAGAGAGAGACATCACAAAACCACACACACACACACACAAGCCAAACCACATCAGGCACATTAAAGTGGCATCATTGGCTTGATTGGGGTTTTGTAAAGTGGGACAATCAGTGCTCCACACCCAGGAGAATCTCTTGGAGAAATCCTGATTTAGTGGGGGCAAGGTCTGAGCAGGCACCTTCAGCTGACAGTGAAGGCTCTGACCAGGGAAAGGATGGGGAAATAATTGCTTCTCTAATAATTAACTCCTAAAGAATTGGCTACATGAAAATGGAGACCTCAGAGGATCTCAGAAATTCCCAGGAGAGGGAGAACATCAGGAGCAGCCCGCTCTGTCCTGCAGGATCCCTCTGCTGTAAAGGCTGTGAAATATCTGCATCCACTGACCAGTGACCCCAAACCACAGCTCCACTGTTCCTAAAGCACCCACACACCTTTGGGGCTCCCTGAGCTCTGCCCTGGGACCTGAGCACACAATTCCTGTGGGCAGGGCAGGTGGAGGGATGAGAGAACTCCCTGGGCTGTATTTCCATGGCAGGCAGGGCAGAGGCTTGCAAGGAGCAAGAGCACGGCCCATGAAAAGGGAATTTCTCTCCCCATCTCCTCCCATAGTGGCTGAGGCTTCCAGCCCTCATTCCTCCTCCAGACAGACAACTCCTGGGAGCATCAAAGGGAGCTCGTTACACATCCAATCCCACTGGGATGCCAGTTCTGATGGGCCAGGAGTAAAAGGGAATATTCAAGATATTTTCCCTTGAATTAAAGATAAAGACGCGAGCGATGTGCAGGCCCGTGTGAACACGTGTGTAAACCTTACGTAAGGAGAGGCACAGGGGACTGAAAGTAGGGCACAGGCACGGAGATCCCCACTCCAAACACCACTGGCTCTGCTGGGGAGGCAGCCAGGGGAAGCACAAACAATTTCCTAATACATCAGGCCGTGACACAATGAGAACATTGTGATCTGAATCGGTTGAGGAGAGGAAACCCTCCATGAGGCATTTGCTTATTTGTGTGTTGGTGAAGAGCCCACAGCAAAGGCATCATCACCAGGCTGTGTGTGGAGGGGAAATTCATTGCTCTTAAATGAGCAAACACATTTACTTGGGGTGGTTTGGCCTGTGCTCAGAGGTCTGGGGGAGAAATGATGGAGAGCACTTGTATCATTATCATCAGCCCTTATCAAAGCTAATCACCAGGAGGGTGTGAGGTGTCCCAAACCACCAGGTAATCACCAGGAGGGTGTGAGGTGTCCCAGAACATCCCTGGTGAGAAATCCTCTGCAAGATGAAGACAGAGGAAGTTCTTTGGAGGCAGCCCTGTGATCCCAGCAGGAACTTCCAGGGACACCAACTGCTCCTCTCTCCCTCTGTGTGACCTGAGGGTGCTCCCAGGAGGAAAACAGAGATGATGGGATTGTTCTGCTCTAGCAGGGACTTGTCAGACACTGCTGAAATCCCAGGGCTGGGGACCCAGAGAAGGGAGAGCTCCACCTGAGCAGCCTGGGAGAACAGGGATTATTGGGGTGTGCAGGAGAACAGGGATGCTTGGAGTTTGAAGGAGAACCCACCCCAGCACTCAAGAGGAGGAGAGGCAAAGGGTTTTGCCTTCTCTTGATATGGTGAAAAGAAATTTCCTGACTTTGAAAGATGGAGAAAGGGTTTGGTTTGTTCATGGGGTGGCAGCTTCTCCCTGGGCACCCATTCCCATCCTTGTGTTTGCAGCTTCCCACCAGGTCCTTGCACAGCTCAGAAATGACTCTGCCCTTTGCCTCTCCTGGCAGCCAGGGAGACACAGGGGTGGAGTTTACTCCCAGTTTAGCACCAAGCTGGCTGAACCTTCACTCCTTTTGACAGCTCAGTGTTTACAGCACTGACTGATCCCTCCTGTTTTCTCCATCTCCATCACTCACTGACAAGGATTTGTCTGGATGCTGGCACACTTTCCTCTCTTTTTCCCCTATTTGTAGATGTCCTCACTGCTGCCTTTCCCACTTTCCAGCACTCTCAGGATTTCCAGAGCATCTTTTAAACAATTTTTCCCCTGCAGCTTTAGGAGCTGCACTCATTTCAGGTGCTACAAAGCTGTTTGTGGGCACAGTGAGGGCAGAGAGCAGGACCCTGCAGCACCAGGACCCTGTGAGGATGAATCGGGCAGGACAAGGAGTGCAGGAACCCCGGACCAAGGGCTCCTTGCAGTGGTAAATCAGGAATTTGTGCTAACAAACCCCTTTCCTCCACGGATGCCTCTGCCCTGGGACACTCAGGAGAGCTGGCACAACCACTCACAGCCTGTGCCTTTCCAAGTGTTAAAAGCATTTTTGGATGGGAGCCCCACACCTTTTATGAGCTGCTAAGAGAGATGGCTCCGGGTCCAGGGTGCTGGAACCCAAACCAGCTCCCTTTTCCAAAATCTGGGGCTGTGCTCTTTGGTAATTCCCTCCTTCATCAGCCACAGGCAGGCTCTCCATAAATCCCAACAGGAGGGACCAGAGCTCTGCTCAGAGCGAGCAAAGCAGAGCTGCTGGAAGTGCTGGAGTCTCTGGCACCCCTGGGGGAAAGCACTACAGCAATTACTGTAATTAATGAACCTGGGCATTCCCACACTGCAGGGGAGGCTCAGCTCTGCTGCTCAGGTCAGGAGCAGCCCTTCAGTGACACCAACCCTGCCCTGCTTTAGAGCTGCTCCTGCACTTGTGGGCACCACACAGACCCACAAAGCTCACATCAGCACGGTTGTGGTGCTTGGGGCATGGAAAAGCAGAGGACAGAGGGAGGAATCCCAGTGTGGTACTGTCACAGACAGCTTTCAAGGAAAATCCTTTCCTTGGGATTCTTCCTCCTGAGAAGCTGAGAGACCTCAGGAACAAAATGCAAACAATGATTATCTGCTGCTGTGGAATGTAACAGCAATCTGGGATTGGTCTCATGGGGTTGTTTCTAATTAATGGCCAATCACAGTCGGTTGGCTCGGACAGAGAGTCCAAGCCACAAACCTTTGTTATCATTCCTTCTTATTCTATTCTTAGCTAGCCTTCAGAGGAAATCCTTTCTTCTATTCTTTTAGTATAGTTTTAATATAATATATATAACAAAATAATTATAATATAGATAATAAAATAATATATAATAAAATAATTATAATATATAGAATAAATTAATATATATAATAAAATAATTATAATATATAGAATAAAATTTTATATATATATATATATTTAAATAATTATTAAAATAAAAAATATCAAAAAATAAATCAAGCCTTCTGAACCACAGAGTCAGATCCTGTCTCTCCCCTCACCCTGGGACCCCATGACCACCATCCCATGGTACCTCAGAGACATTGATCCTCCCCTCCTGGAAGGAGCAGGTGGTGGGGTCGTGGGTGCACAGGTTCCTGTACTTGCACCAGTGGCAGCGGAAGGCACTGTTCACACAGGACAGGCACCTGGGGGGAGAGCAGGGTCAGCACAGGCCTCAGCACCCTGGCAGGGCTGCAGCCTCCTCCAGGCCTTGCCAGAAATTCAAATTATTTTCCTGGGAAAATAATTCCTTTGGTGGAGAATTCCTTTGATAGAGGACAAAACAAGAAATGACTTTGGGAAAACACACACACTCCAAAAACAGACCTGGGGCAGCCTCACAGTTTATCCCAGAGTAAAATGCAAGCTGGGATTTACTGCACATCCTTGGATTGGTGTAAAATAGAGCAGGGCACTGCACAGGCACCAGGCTGGGGCTTTGGCTCCTAGGAAGGAAGGCAAGCCTGGCAAAAATGGGATCAGTTGTTCTGCAAGTCAGGAATGCTTCAAGGCAGCAGCAACGCTCCTGCCTGGCCTTGGAGCGCAGGGGGTGCTGCAAGTGCTTTTGATTCATGTTGGGGAAAAGAAAATAACTGCTTATGAAATGTTTTTGAAAGAACACAGACCCTGTTCAGCCCCAGGGGAGCCAGCTGCCAGCCGAGCGGCCGGGTGGGTTTTGTTCCCCTCTCACAGAGAGGCAGGAGCTGTGACAGCTGCCAGCCCTGGCAGTTGCCACCTCCTCCATCTCCGAGGCCACCCCTGGTGCCACGTGGCAGCCCTTGGTGGCAGCAGGATCAGCTGTGCCCGTGGATTCAGGCCATGCCCTGCCCGTGGCTCCAGGCACTGCAGAGGGAATTGCCCGGGACTGCTGGAGCCAGGCCAGGCCAGGCAGACCAATGTCACCAGGGAGGTGGCAGCGTGGCCTGGGGCAGCTCTGGAGAGGAGCAGAGCAGCTCTGCAGGCTGGGCTGTCCCAGGGGGCACGGGGAGCAGGGCAGTGAGAGCTGCTGCCACCACAACACTCCGAGGGCTCATTGTGCTCTCCTGAGCTTTCCTGCTCTCCTCGATAGCCAGGGGAGCTTACTCTGATCATCATAGCAAATCTGGGGAGTGCTGAGAGCTTCTTTAATTACTCATTTGTCTGACGCGTTTCTGTCCCTCTTTGGGTCTGGGGCACCTCAGCTCACCTGGCCTCCAGCA